AAAAAGAAAATAATTTAATATTTACCATGAACACTATAATTCATAAATACAAACCATCGTCCACTAGCTGTCCAATCATGATAACTATTAGAGAATAATTTTAATATTTTGTTTCAAAAAAAAAAAAAAAAAACGAAATATTCATTCTTACCTATACCATGCATAAATTAAAACAGTAGCATGATGAAACCAATGAAGAAAAATTAATTTTTGTTTTCGTAATACAATAAATAATGTATCAATAAGTTCAGGAACTTTTGATATACAAAATATTGTTATCCTAGTCAAATAAAAAGAAAAAAAGAAATATTATTAAAATTTTGATTTTATTTGCATACCAAAATCCAGTGATACCATAAATACTTCTTGTATCACAAATAGTATATTGTAAACCTTCTTTATATAATGCATAAATCATTTCAGGTACACAACGTATCATACCAAATATACTAAATAAAGCCAATGAAACATTCCATAAAATTAATGGTAATCGTAATTCATAACGTTCACGTTTTTCCATTAATGATCGACCATAATAAATTAATCCAACATATATTATTGAATAAACAATACTTAACCACCACCATTTATGCCACCAAGTATAAATATTATCAGCATAAGTTTTGTCCAAAAATTTTTTTTCAAAATCAAAAACAAATGGATGATGTATACCAACAGGATCACGTACCCATGATGTTATATGAAATTGATTTGGATTGAAATATTCACGTAGAATTGGATTTCGATAGAATGATTCAAACACTTCCATCAATGGAATGTTCAATCTAAATCAATAAAAAAGAAAAACAAACAGCACTACGCGACTCCGTTGTTTTGTTTTTATTCTATTTCATTTGAATTATGTGAAATAAATGTTGAATGTACATATATATATATATTATACACCATTTGTACGTTTTAGCTTCTCGATGACGTTATCGAGCATTGTTCGGGATACTTCATAAACAGAAGAATGTAGGTGTTCGTTCCCAGATAGAGATGAATGGAGCAAAAATGCGTTCGAATCGTTCGGAAGGCGTGTTGGTTTTCGTTCGCCTTTTCCGAACTCGTTTTTCCTCCATTCATCTCGACTTGGGTTGATTTAAGCATATATGTCGATGCAAAGAAGTAAGAGACAGAAGAGAAAAACAAGGAAAGGAATATTGGTCTTACAAAATATAACATAAAGAATAAGACTATAGTGACTCTATCGAGAAAATAATAGAAACCATCCAGATCGACGAATACGGACTTCGCATACGCCTGTAAATGATCGTTTTTCGTTTCATATATTTTCGTGCATGATATAGAGATACACGATCGTAATACTGGAGTATGTAAATCGTCATATTTCTCCGTATATGGTGTGACGGTTTTAAATAGAAGACTCGCTTGCGTGGATAGAGTCACGCTCTGTTTACCTTCTTCATATCATTAATCGTATCGTCTACATCGAAAGCACACTTTTATATATACACAGCTAGAAGAAAGATAACAAGGAGAAGGAAGGAAAGAAGGATAAAAAGAATCAAGGATAGTGAGATGGTTCAAGATATAGAGTATCAATAGAAAAAAAGAATAAGATATGTAATAAGAAGAAATGACAAGAGAAGGTCGAATATCATGTATATACAGTCATTTCAATCAACTAATGAGAGTAGATATTAATATACCATACATTCGACTGAGAACGTCACATACAGTTGTTTACGATCGTGCTTGTTCAACCTGAGTATTAGAAGATTTCTTTTATTCCTTTTCTATGTTCGTTTTCTTTTTGAGATCCCGAAAGAATAGTCAAAGAATGTGAACAGAATAAAAATAGATATTCATAAGAACGAAATACCTTTAACATGCCTTTTCACCAACGAAAATGTGGGGCCACATACATTCGAAAATAAAACGTAAGAAGAGAGAACGAAAAAAAAACAAACAAACATGTAAAAAATAATAGAAATGCTGATATAAAGTGGGAATGAAAAATTTATGACACTTTTTGTTTTTTGTTTTTGTTTTCATCATAAATACCACTGAAATAGTGATTTTGATAGCTCTTGGAAAGAGCTACAAATCTATCATATTGAAATTGTATTTTATCACTTTTCACATAGTCGAAGAACAGAAAAGGTTTCCCAATATTCATACTAAAATGTAGCCCATTCAATTCCGCATTACATGGTATATTTCGAAACCTTTGCTGTTCTTTGACTATGTTAAAAGTGATAAAATACCTCAAACTTTTGATTACTGAACAAAAAACAATTTCCGTCATGAAAATTGAATAGATTTAGCATTAGTGCTTTCAATATGATAGGTTTGTGGATATTCTCAAGAGCTATCAAAATCACTATTTGGATATTATTTTTGATGGAAAAAAATGAAAAATAAAAAGTGTCATAAATTTTTGATTCTCACTTAAAAGAAAGTAATACGAGAAAGGAAATAATCGAATAAAATGAAAACAAGAGGATATGATATAACTACACAAGATACATAGGTCAAGAAGTACGGGCTGATTTCAGCAGGAAAACATCGAAAATTTCTGGAACTTGGAAGTAGTATTCCGGCGAGGAATTTTTCGGATTTTTTCCAATGGATTCTAGTCAATTTCAGTTCTTTCCAGCTGGAATACTATTTCCACATTCTAGCGCTTTCCAATGTTTTTCTGTTGGTTCCAATAGAATCCGATTATTTCCGGAGATCGGAATCATCGGCCTGGGTAGAGAAAAAAAATGCGATGTTCATAGATGTATAATCTATTTAATGAACGATAACGAATTGCAATGAAGATGACGAGTCATATTGCAATGAATACACACTTCTTAGGAATTTTAGTTATCGGAAGGATATTGTTGATGATTAAAAATTATAATAATGGGATGATCAACGAAGTTTCAACTGAAATTAGCATTGACTAATGTGATTTTAATTTTTGTAGGAGATGAGTGATTGAAATAGTACGAACGAGCACAGTTCAATTGATAGATATTGAAGATGGAAATACTTTCAAGATTTCATTTTATGTAAGAAAGCCAGTGCTAATTTAAAGCTAAATATCGAATCCTTGAATAGTAGCCGGGATAATGTCCATAGGTTGAATAATGGCATCGATCAAAAGCGACTCGAGATTACGAAGTATTTCGATTGTTTTAACATATAGCATTAAGATTTTAGAATATTGTCTTGAACAAGCAGTTGAAATTATGTCGATTCGAAAGTTGCAGATCGACCATCAATACCATCGGAAAAAGATGCCGAATATTGTACGAATAGTATTGAAAACATAAATAGAGAAATGAAAGTAAGATGGGTGTCAAGCAGTCTTAAGAATTTACTAAGATAACGATCACTGGATCGGATTATTGATGAGGATAATAAATTATGTATTCGAATGTGCTGCTTGAATGTAAATCGGTGTTAATGTACTTTCGAAGTATACATGTGGTATGTGATTGATGGTTCAAGTGTTTCGTTGAGATTATCGAAACCGATCACCAACTTGAACTAAAGTGCACAAACATATCCATGCTTCATCAGAATCGTTCTCATATTCAGCTTGATGAGCGGTGCACTAGCACTACAAGAGGTAGCAATTGTTTCCCCAAATTGTTCAGGCTTTCTTTGTATATTAGAATAAAACTACATATTTAATACGAATTTGTAGTTAATATAAACGAATTGATTCGATCTCATGAATTTGTTTATTTCTATCTTGATGAATGAATTCCCTGTTTTATATATATATATATTCAAAATCTACTTTGATCAAAAGAATTGAAGTTCGATTAACTGACATTTAATGAGTGAAATGCAATAGCTTATCTTCTTCACTGTTGGTTATTAATTAAAATGAGTTGGGCACTCGGTATCGATTGTTTGTTTTTATTTTCTATTTAATACAGTCTGCAAATTAGTTTTTTAAAATTTAAAATCAAAATGTCTGAAAAAAAATTTACCTATTATTTCATAATCAAAGAGAATATCAGTTAACTGCTAACAACAAATAGTTAAGCAATCTGAAGAGCAACATCTCTATCTTTGCAGCTGATTGATATTCTTATGATTTTTTCGAAAAAAAAAAAGAGTAATTGTTTAAATTTCGGATAACCATTTACATGAATATCAAAGCAAGAACTCTGCAACTACTATTTTTCCTATGTTATCTTAAATCATGACACTATAATTTCTGCATCGTTTGAAAGAGCTTTTAACGAAGACTCTAAATACATGTTTTAACCATTGAAAAATGAAACGACATTTTTCCAGGAAATTTTCAATTATTCGTTATCTCAAAAAGAATCTTATATATAAGCCTCTCATCCCAAAAAAAAGTACATTTATATCTTATTAATAGAACAAAAATTTAGGACATCGTTTTTTTTTCGAAAACTTTCGATGATTTCTGTGACCTTCAGCTTGTACAGTGTTTTTTCCTCAATGTATGCTGTATGTTTTTTGATCACACAAACCAAAATTCTTAAAAAAAACCTCATGTTGTGCAACTCACATATATTTTCGAAGAAAATAGTGAGTGTAAGTTTTAAGTCGAGATTTTGCGGCTCTCCCCCCCCCCCCCCTAGCCCCCCACCATTACGGACCTTAGCAACCGGGGATAAAGATCAAAGGTCATTAAGTATAGTTCCCTAGCAACGAAGGATAATAAGAACTACCTTCTTTCCTATGGGCCCTTAGCAACCATATGGCGGAAAACCATACATTATTGGATATATTTCCATGGCACCGGGCTTCCTCATTGCAGACCGTTACGAACACATTAATTAATTAGCTAATTAACAAAATAGTGAATAAAACAATAATTAATTAATAATTAATATATTCAATAATTAATTCATAATTAATATATTCAATAA